GTTTAATATACAAAAGTACCGGTATAGGCCAGTTAAATTGCACTCTAAATTCATTCAAGTTTTGTCTAAGCTAAACGGAGTATTATAGGAATTTAATAGCTATTATCAGAAATTTCAGATTATAGTAAGTTGTTAGAATTCAGTGGTTTGTTCTAACTAGTTACCGCAGAATAAATGTACTATCATCTGTTTGTTCAGTGTTTTGTTCTCTGTTGACGCCAAATCTTGCTTTCTTTTCTTGCATTCTCAGTGATTGATTCATTGCATTCCTGCTCATACTGAGAGTGGAATACTCGTAGACACTGCACTCGATGTAATTATATAGATTAGTTTTCTTCAGTTCTCTGTTAGTTTTTATGTTAAAAAAAAGTCTGTGAATGAATAAACGACATTAACATAAAGCTTGCATTAAAGCGGAAGGTCCTGGGTTCGAACCCCAGTGGGTACGTACTGCTAAAGAATCTCGAATTCGAACGAAACAACTGTCCAGCACTCCCTGGTGGTTTTCAGCGGTCCTCTCACCGTTATCAATACGTGGTCAAACTTGAAACAAGTCAAATTCCTACAACCTAACTCTAGAAAAAAATATATGTATTTAGCAAGTGAATTTCCTTCCTATTTAAATATTATACCTAACTTTCCATTCTCTCCGTCAGTTAGCTAGTTAGTTAGTTAGTTGCTATTATTGTTTATCTTTTCTCGTTTCCTATTGGCTGATTTAAATTATGCTTTTTAGACATTACATTCCCAAGGTCATTTATAAATATAACATGCAATTCCTCTCTGTCTATGCTTCGTCTATCTTAGATGGATTAACCAGTCTACTCTACTGTCATTTGAAGCATTAGCTAATATTGCAATTGTCAATGTATATTCGTAACATTTATCAAATATGATAAAATCACTGTATCTTTAGTGTTTGAGAACATAGAAATGAAAAGACGACAAACATCGATTGCTTAATTTGTAGATTTTCGTTTACTAAGAAGATGATTTGAATGCATAGTACCATATACACTAAGTCATCAGTCTTCCAAACTTACTTTGTTCATTTAAGTAAGATTTTAACTTGGTTGGATATAGACAAAGCTTAGGGTACTAATTCTCATAGCCTTCAAGTACCGTTCACGATTTCATAAGGGAACACAGCTCATGATGTACGTAGGAAACCTAGAACTGGACAATATAATTTATTATTAGATGTATTATACGGTGAAACGCGTCAGTGGCATAGCGGTTAGGACGCACGCCGACCATGCACATGGTCCGGGGTTCGATCCCCGGCCGATGCACTCCTTTACCTCGCTAAGCCAGAAATAATGCTGGTGAAGAGGAAAGGTTGGGCATGAGGCTAGCAACCCCATCCTGTAAAATAAACACTGCTACAGAAACTTCAAGCCACTAGCTTGGAGCCCTATGTTCCACTGGGGAACGCGAAGGAAAAAAAATACGGTGAAACAGTATTATTAATAACTGAATGACGTTTCGAACACAATACATTGTCCGTATTCATATGATACATAGTTCTTTTCTCAGTTCAGGTCCGCAAATAATATTTAAAGGTTGTTCCCTTTGAACTTAAGATTTATTTTATTCAGGATCGATTACAGTAACTCGGGTACGTCAATCTCTATTTCAGTGTGACTCATTTGGTTCAGGCACTCAACTTTCAACCAGTAACTACAGTGTTCGAATCTCTTCACCTATTATTTCAGTTTGTGTACCGCTGGGTGGTAGTGTTACCAACCACATTAAGTATGATTCACAAATCTATTCCATGTGACTGAGATCAAACAACCAATTCATTTAAACACCAATCACTTATTTAGATTGTAATGACTTATTTCCCAAGAAAAAATAAAGCATGTAATATAAATTATTAGTTTCGGTGAATTTGACTCTGTCAAACATAAAACATAATGACTACTGCAGTTCGTCTACTCCCCAATATAGATAAATAGTCGGTTAGGCGGAATACACTACCTATCTGCCTTAATTCTCTTCTCATATAAAAATATATATACTGAACAAAGGGATTTTACTTTTAATGGAATTTGAATGTTCCTTTTTATCGGTATTGTAAGTGAAGCAACGCCAATTCTTGTACAACTAAGGCGTACAAGTACACATACAAATAAATAAATTGACATTTAATTTGGAAAATTATCTTTTTTCATTATTGTTATCATTATTATTCTTCCCTTTATATTCTCTAACGGACCATTATTGTCCTTTCCAAAAAGGGGCTTCATTTAAACAATGATGTCTATTCCCTTGTAAACATATAATTCACTTGAATGCCTATCACATAACCCCATTATATATTATTAATTATTCTAAGAATCTATCTAAAACAACGATGGATGCATGGGATGGAATACAGTGCATATATATATATATATATACAGACACGCGAATACAAATTACCGCCGCCATACAACATGATAGTCTAAACAAAAATGTAGACAATGATAATTTCATTGTCTGTAAAATATATTTCATGTACATTTATTTATAATATATTACATATATATATACTAATTATATCAGTAGGACATTAGAAACCGATTCAAATGATATCAGTATTTCTCCTCCTCGAATATTATCTATATTCTACAACCTTAGATTATTAATCAATCAGTGTGATTTTTTCTAATCCCCTGTTTGCTGTGATTGGAAAAGACGCAAAGAGAGAAAACTGATATGTATACCTGAGTATGTGTGTGTGGGGGGGGGGGCAAGCGAATATTCCTGTGTTTTCAAATGAGATAGCAGGTATTTGCGACTCAAACTCGTGAATATGAACCTGATGCTCACTAGCGACTGGCCCTATTCAGGTGGGTAGTTACCTGGGTTTTAGTGAGAAGTTGCAACCACCAGGACGGGTTTGAGAACAAATACTCACCTCGGAGGACCATTGGCTAGTGATGGCGTTATCTTGTGAATTGGCAGAAGTTGGAATTCATGAGCCACTGGATCGTGTCCCAGTGGCTTAATGGTCTACGAGTTCATTTTGTAACCGGAAGTTGCTGCGTTCGAACCTCTGTGGTGGGTGCATGCTGATGAAGAGTCCGAAACTAGGGCAAAACATCTGTCCATTTCTCCCAGCTTGTTTTCCAATGCCTCTTTAACCGATGTCAGCTCATGACAAAATCTTGTAACCAATCAAATCCCTGCAAACCAACACTTGAATACTTATACTTAGTAAGAATTTCACATTGAAGCAAGTGCTGAAGATGTTGTCTAGAAGTGCAATTAAAACTTCGTCATTAAATCTCCTGCCTCATCAAGCTGTAAATCGTCTCCATCGTTTCGAAGTTCACTTTCCAACTGTTCTCTTCTGGTAATTTGGTTGCTGTTGTTTTTTTTCTTCTTGTAAGCTGATATACACCTATGATTGCTTGTTTGTATTTCTTTGGGTTAACGCTCTTGTTTATGATGAGATAAATAATTCTCTGGTAGCAATCAATACAACTTATTGCTTACCGTATCATCTTCTACTGCATAAAAAAATTTTTTTTAATCAAGGTAGGCTTTATATTGTTTATTATCTCGATGTATACAATGGGTGTGTCTAACGGTCGACTTCATAAAAATTCGTAACTAAATTCTGTCATGGATCTCTGCAGTTACGTTTTTCAACGTTTTATATTTATGTATACCTTCACGTTAGTTTAGTTGTGTTTTTTGTTTTGTTGTTGTTGTCATGCTTCTCCTTTTTATAAGGAAAAAGTGAATTTTGCATATTTTTCTTCTTGAAAACCAAGTTAGTCTTCCTGTCAATACTTTGATATCAGCTTAAATTATTAGTAATAGGGTCGTCCATGATCATATGTGTTTGCGTTCTGTCTCTCATTATATATATATATGACAATAATTTCGGTAATATTAAGTCTAGGCGTAGAGGATCTGCTACGAAGGGAAAGCCAATCGATGAGGTTGTGAAACTGGAATCGATTGAGATATTCAGAACACGCGTGTTGCTCATGCCGAGTCATCTCGCTCCTCGACTGGCAATATTAGACGATAAAGGATGAGATTGGAGAAGAGTTAGAGGTACTCTAACTAAAAGTCATCGGCTAGTTGGCTAGAGTCATTGAGACTGCAAGAACACAAGTGTTTGGAGACTGTTGCTAATATATGACGTGGATGCATTCACTCTTTGTGATGTTCTGGATCCGTTAAATTCTCGTTGTTAATTGTCTTTTTATTTTCTATATTTTTCGCTTTATTATAGTTTCTTCTTTTGCATTTCTCTCTTATCTTTTCTCTTTTTTTATGAAATGTGGTAACTTAAACTTCTGCATTTATGTACAGATTTCTGTTTTAAAAATTTGATCCGAATACATGATTGATGCGTCCACAGGATGAAGGTAATGATATCAATTAATTATGCAGTGACGACTAACATTCATTCGACTGAATTCAACACAACTGAAAGCAAAACTGAATGTTGACTTGGTCTTATGACAATGTTTGAAGTTTGACCACGGATTGATGTCATTTAGAGAACCAATGAAAACAACAAGGGAGTACTGGACAGCTATCTCTCCTTAGTCGTCACCTGTGGGATGCCCTCGTAAGTACACAGATGCTCACCGATGTTATTGGCTGGTTTTCGCGCTAAACTCACGAATTGATAAAAGCTATAATTCATGGGATAGCCATCGAATCGAGTACCAGTGGCTGAACGGTCTATGAGATTGATTTATAACCGAAAGGTTGTGGGTGCGTACTGCCAATGAGTGCCAAACTAGGATAAAACAGCTGCCCAGTTACTCCCTGTTGGTTTTCAATGGCTCTCTAAGTGATATCAATCCGTAGTCAAACTCTTGAAAATGTTTGAAGTCTCCAGAAGCCAGAATAATTCCCGTCAACTTACTAACTGCCAACTCAAGACCATCTTATATATAGTCTCAGTTGTTCTAATGTTTTAAAAATACAGCATATCAATTTATTGTTAAAATATTTGTGTTTTTTTCATTATTTTTTATCTACAGAAATTTTTCATGCGGCATACAGCTGCGAGATTACGTAATTCCGAGATGGGATCAACAGTCACCGAGTCGATATGTCCAATGGGTGGAAGATGTCGAGTTGAAGGTCCTGGCCGTGGTAAATGCCCACATTGTCGATATCGAAAATGTTTAGACTTGGGAATGACCCTAACACGTAAGTTTTCAGTGAATGTTTTTTTGTCATAATATTCCACTACTCTCTTTCTCTGTGTTTCTTCGCTCAGCTATCTATTCTTATTTGTACAATGTTTGGATGAGTATGTTTTCTCATATGTTCTAATATTCACCTGTATGTTGTAAAACTGTCTATAGGGAGGTTTCAATGTTTTTGAAATAGGATGCGATAGGATGACAGTTTTAAAATCTAATGTCACAGGGTGGAGGGAGAGATTGATGACAGAAGCTTTGTTTATCGAATCAACTACAAATACATGTAATAGGAATGATTCAACACCTGTCGCAGATATCTGGAAAATTCTACTAACCCTATGACAAATAGGAGAAGACAAAGAAAACTATGAAAATCAAGGGTCAAAATCGTGTGATTACAATTGATATGATTATGAACAATACATTTTGTTCGAAACGTCATCCAGTAAATAATACATCTAATAAACAAGCTAATATGGAATTACTTCCCACCACAGTGCCCAAGTTTTACACATATATTTTTTAAATATAGTTTATTAGATGAAGAATATTCCTTTTGATAACTTTATTTTCAGGTTCTATAATTAGTCGATTAGTAAATTCAATGTTCTATACTGGTGAATATTTCTCTATACAGTTTAAATAAAGACGTAATCAAAGCTAGGACATTATATAGGTCTAATCCGGAGATTAATAGGGACGATTTTTAGCTTAGGTGGGTTTGGTTGTGTTTTCTGAGCTGAGTGGTTTAATCGGATGGTTTTCATTATTCTTCTGGACGACATCTACACAGTGCTTAGTTCAGTAACAGAATTGCGATTCAATCACCTAACTCAGTTTGGATAATCACACCAAAAAATCAGGTCCAAATTGGTTATAAGACTAGTAGTAAATCACTCATGAAGCATAGTTTATCCTGTTATAACCACACTCTTAGAAGCATTTGAACATTGACTCCTAGCTTAAAGATAGGCAGGAGTGAAGTGGTAGAGCGTGTTGACCGTTGCATCAGCCAACGCCAGCGGGTTGATCGCTGAAGAAATCTCAGTACGGATACAGAATGCTCGTTTGGCATATGCCAGTTTACGCCGTCTCTGGCGTAGACGTGATATCTGGATATCAACCAAAGGGTGTGTGTACTGCTCGGCAGTTCACTCTGTCCTCCTTTATGGCTGAAGGTGAGACATGACCATTGATAGTGGAAGAAGGCTAGTTGTCTTTGATCATAGGTGCCTGCGTTCTATCTCCTGTGTTAAGTGATATATCAAGGTGAGTAATATTGAGATTGAGTGTCGTTGAATGGTGGGTAAAGAGGGAGGGGAAATCATTCGGCGACGTTGTGAAGTTACACCGATTGAGATGGTTAGGACATGTGTTACTCATGCATGCCTAGCCATCGCCTTCCTCAACTGATGGGCAATGTTAGCTGACATAGGATGGGTCAGGTTGGAAAAGACCTAATGGTGGTCAAACCGAAGCATGGCCTCATCTGTCAGTGAAATGCACACAAGTTAGTTTAGGCCATCCATGTAGGCAGGTGTAGACTGTGTGGGGCTGGTTAGGGTCCTCGGGATGATAAGAAGCAATGACGGCTTGAGATAGTTGGTGATATAGCTCAAAATTGTTCTTACTGACGGCGCAGATGCATTCGTTCTTTATGATTTATAATATCCAATAAAATCCTACTGTTCTTCCATATTACTATTCTTTTTGCCTGATATATCTGTTTTGAATCTCTCTCTACTCTCTTCTCTTGCTTTGTATGCTAAATGGAGGGAGAGTGGCGACTGGACTTCTGCACATCTGTGCAAAGTTCTATGTTAGAACTAGTCAATCAACCATCTGAACTTTGAATTCAAACTAGAAGCATAGATTAGATTCTGTGTCCATTATTCTTCATTTTATTCTTTTGCGTTCCTAGTGGGATATATGGCTTCAGACTTGAGCTTCAAAGTTCCAGTAGCTGTGACTTTTTTCACGCCTAAACTTCCCTCTTTACCGGCTTAGCGATATCAAAGAGTGTATTGACCAGCGATCGAACCCCGGACAACGTGAGACGCGGTTGGCGAGTATTATACCACTGAACCACCGATGGATAAACAACGTCTGATTAGTTATCACTTTGGTTTGTCCTAGTAATTGACTTAACCGATTAGTCTGTTTGGTTGTCAACAGATTTTCAAGAGTCAGCTTGTAGGGATTTGATTTGTTTCAAGTTTGACCACAGCTTGATATCGGTTAGAGAATCTTTGAAAATCACCAGGCAGTAACTGTTTCATCCTAGTTTGGCACTCATTTGCAGTACGCAGCCGTCACAGGGTTTCGAACTTACAACCTTCCGGTTATAAGCTGGCTCGTAGACCATCTAACTACTAGTACCCGACTCAATGGCCAGTCCATGAATTATAACTTCTGCCAATCGTGGTTTTAGCACGACTGGCACCAATCAATGTCACTGTACTACCGATGATGGGACTAAACAGTTCTGTCCAGTACTCCCGGTGGTTTTCCGTGGTTCTCTAAATAATATCAATCCGTGGTCAAACTTTTCAACAGATTAGCTGATTTCTTTCACCATCAAGTTGTTGTTCGTGTGTTTGTGTGTTGTAGCGTCTACACTGGTCAGTGAGTGGTCTTAGTCAACTTTTTAAATCTGGGCGGTATTTTTAGCTTAGTTGGATGTGTTTTGGTGGAAGATTGCATTCTCTGTGAGCTGGATGGCTGAATTCTATAACTTCCATTGTCCTTCTAGACCAACATTGAACAGCGCGCTGATTTAAGTTTGAAGCTGTTGACCAGAGAAGCAGTGACAGCCTTGCAATTAAATCTGTCAGCTCAGGGAATACAACAACAACACCAAAAGTAGTAAAACCCTTTTAGATCGAAGTGAATTTTCAATTTTGACTGAATGTTAGTTAGATGAATACTTAAACATAGGGTGTGCCACACCTCCTGTAAAGATGTTTAAATATATATACGTCTGCACAAGCACACCCACATACACACACACACTGGTACATATCTCTCTTTCAGTATAATCGCATATTATCCAACTTAGCATTTCAGATTAAATCATAAACATTTTACCCTTACATTCATTCCACTTTTGTTGTAATACTTACTGTTTGTGTTAGGTTATATATTCAACTTTTTTTTTCTGGAAAAATTTTCAATGGGTTTTGTTGTGTGTTTTTTGTAGCAGCAATAGTAAAAAATATCACTTTTTGATATTTCCAGCAATAAACTCTTCATGTTCCTAGTTTTTTTGTTAAAAAAGAGAGTGTCTGATGCCTATTTATAGATATATATATATATCTGTGTGTATATACTGCTTTTACATCAATCAAATATTTCGCTGTTTTCCACATGCGAAACAAATGTCAATGCATATTATAAATATATATATATATATATATGTAGTGTGTATATGCACGTGCTGCTACACAGTGTTGTGTAAGCCTTGCGATTTCAACACATTCCATTAAGATTTTTTTTTCACTAGATTTATTATTATTTTCATGTTTTCGTGTTTATTCTCCTGTTAATACTTTTACTGTAATCTAAATAAATTTTTCAAAAAAAAAGAATTCGGTATCTACTCAAAGAGTGTGCATGTAATCAATGATGATGATGATAATGACCTCGACTACTACCCTAAGGTATGTCTTGTGGTCTGGTTACTCTATGACAATGTTTGTTTGAAGTCCTTTAAATCGAGCACAACTTCCATCGAGGTTTGTCTTTGTTTGCTTTTCCTTCACGTTCCCCAGTGGAACATAGGGCTCCAAGCCGTGTTTATTTTACAGGATGGGGTTGCAGCCTCATGCCCAACTTTCCCTCTTTACCAGCATTATTTCTGGCTCAACGAGGTAAAGGAGTGCGTCGGTGGCCGGGAATCGAACCCCGGAGCATGTGCATGGTCGGCGAGCGTCCTAACCACCATACCACCGACGCACATCGAGGTTTGTCAGTCTACCAGAAAAAAAAGCTGAATATTTATTTATTGATGTGTTGTACTCTATTTGTTTGGAATGTTATCAAATTCATGTTCAACTTTAAATTCACCCTTGTGATCGCGTGTCATGACGTGTTAACACGAATCAACATGGTTTTCTTTCTTCCATTGTTTATCTCTTCCTGTTTCTGTTTCTGTGTTTGTATGTCTGTGTGTGTATGTGCGTGCATCTCAGTTTTGTTTACACTGTAATTCCCTATACTAGTGACATCAAAGCGTAGGAGATTGAGGTGCTGGGAGCTAGATCCAGGTCCTAGTGGAAACAGTACCACTCACAAAATCTTAAATGGAATAAAACTCGCCTCCAGGGTTTCACCACTAGCCGCCACCATGACCAACTAACTAGTATCATGTGGAAAGGGTTTTTTTACTTGATGTGGTATGTGACAAAAGGGATATATTCACAAGAGAGAGAGAGAAAGAGAAGAAAAGGTAACTAGGATCACTATTTGGAGATCATCCCCGAGATACAGGTAAACAGAAGCATATATGCACACACACATATTCGCATGGCATTCAAATCACCTAAGAAAATGTTGAGAATCACTGAAGTTCCGTAGAATAGTTTCGTGGCTGTCTTTTAGAAAAATATAATAAGCATTTTTGAGAAAGATAGAGAACAACAACAGCAACAATAAATTAAATGTGTTACTTGAATGAGTAACTATAATCTCTGCTTATTTGTTTAATAATTCTTCAGTTACACAATGGCATGCTTAAGTTAGCAAGAAGTCACACTTCAATAAGGTTTGTATTGTTTAAACGTTTAAAAGACACCTCCTTTGACTTATTTCCTTTCTTCTACTTGCTTTTCACTCTATATTATTATTATTACTATTATGCAGTGTGAAACCTCCTTTAAAAGGAGTACTGTTAAATTTCTTCAAGTCATCAACTTTTGCTGTTTTTGATAAATTTAGATTTACATCCATTTACTTTCGTGTAAAACACACACACATATATATATACACATACAACCAGGAGTTAAT